GTCGGTGCCCATTACGAACAAACTCCAAGGCGTAGAACAAGCGAGGTGTGAGCCTCCTCCAGCTCTAGACTAGAGCGTGCTACCTTGCCTCCCACACTAGACAAGTGCGCTGGCCCCCTTCAATGATATACGAGCCCCCGTTGCCGGCATCGCGACAATCACAAGACTTGCAAGCCTCCGCAAACCTCCTCAAAGGACTAGCCCTGAAGCAAGAACCATGTGGGATCCCCTCCGCGAGCAAACCAGCTCGGCCATCCGCCACTGGCCCCCTTTGTGACAGCACTTCCCTGTCACTAGATCCAAAAATGCGCCCATAGTGTCTTCCACGTCCATCCACCGCGGACACTTCGCTATGTCGGGATGTCGTCCCGAACTGTCCTCCACCAGTCAACAAAGTTCCCATGACTTGGTCGTGTTTCCACGACTCAAGTCGCCAAGAACCTCCGACACATGCAGCTTCACGCTCTCCGTACTAAATCCGGCGAGATCGCTAAACATGTATGTACATTACCCCAATCCCAAAGGGATCAAAACAACATTGAGAGCGCACTCTCGAAGAGACTAGTGAAACTATGAGCGCGAACGCCCGGCGCTGCTCTTGGGCCGTCCGCCTCCCAGGTGACTCCACCGCGGAGCTTGAAGCCACCTGCTTCGCCTTGCCACTCCTCCACTCGGTCACAATGATGACAAGCCAGACGAACACCATGTCGATCTAGCTCGATGTCGTCGCAGCCAAGTGGTCCAACTCGACCACGATGACCCGGCGTTGCTCATGGGTCACTCGCCTCCAAGGTGACTCCACTGCACAAGCTGAAGCCACCTGTTACGCCCCAAGACGTGATGCTGTGTCTTGGAGCGCCTACCTCCCCAGTGTACTTCCAGCACTAAGTCGGTGCCCATTACGAACAAACTCCAAGGCGTAGAACAAGCGAGGTGTGAGCCTCCTCCAGCTCTAGACTAGAGCGTGCTACCTTGCCTCCCACACTAGACAAGTGCGCTGGCCCCCTTCAATGATATACGAGCCCCCGTTGCCGGCATCGCGACAATCACAAGACTTGCAAGCCTCCGCAAACCTCCTCAAAGGACTAGCCCTGAAGCAAGAACCATGTGGGATCCCCTCCGCGAGCAAACCAGCTCGGCCATCCGCCACTGGCCCCCTTTGTGACAGCACTTCCCTGTCACTAGATCCAAAAATGCGCCCATAGTGTCTTCCACGTCCATCCACCACGGACACTTCGCTATGTCGGGATGTCGTCCCGAACTGTCCTCCACCAGTCAACAAAGATCCAATGACTTGGTCGTGTTTCCACAACTCAAGTCGCCAAGAACTTCCGACACATGCAGCTTCACGCCCTCCGTACCTTAGTCGCCACCTTGCATGGCCCGACCTAAAAATCCGGCGAGATCGCGGCACCACTTTGTGCAATCCACATTCTCCGTGTGCCGTTGTCAAAACGGCGTGATCGAGAGCAAGTAGAGGAGGCGAGGGAATGAATTTTCATTCATACGTGAGCGAGGGAGAGGACAAGAGACAACCCGAGACCGGTTTCGTCCTTTTTGGGACTCATCAGCCGGGTGTAGTCGTCTAGTGTCTACCCTAACCCTAGCTCGACGCCGACTCTACTTATTTTTGGCTCTGTCACGTGGCGCGAGTCCGTGTGGCAGCCATGCGAAGTGGCGTGGCAGCGTTGGCTCGCGAGGGTGCGAACGTAGCACAGCTGGTGTTGGTTACTCCACAGCAGTGGTAGTCGCGGAGAATGACTTCGGCTAATTGCCGAAGACAGTAAGCGTTTGTCCGGCGGGTGACGTACCTTCGACGCAAGATAACTTGTAAACGCGGCATGATATGATGCATGCATTACGTCCACAATGCTTGTGTCACTTGTACGTACCCGGCGACCAAAAACGTGGTTCACTTTGTAGGGAATATTCTGGGAATATTCCGTAGTTGACCGTTGACCCCGCGTTGACCGTGTGTGGACTGGGATGGTGGAGGGCCTGAGGTCACTCATACATACCCAGAGTCCAGCAGTGATCAGGGGGGAGCCATCCCGCAAGCTGTCGGCATGTGTTGCCGATGTCGAAGGAGCGGCACCGTTTTAATGGAAAACACGCTTTTCAACGAATCGTGTGTGGAGTCCAGAGTTGAGACTCACATATTCACGATCGGAAGGAAGAGCGGAATCCAACGGTATATGCCGTTTTGACTCGGTCAACAAAAACACTGTCAGGGAATATTCGGGAATATTCCATTCTGACCGTTGACTCCGCGTTGACCGTGCGTTGACTCGAAAGGGAGGTGGCCTGGAGTGAGTTGGGACATACCTGGAGTCCATTGGCCAGATCCTGGGAGTCATCGGTTACGTGGAGAGGGATGCAAACATATGCTTCCATGTCTTGCAAAGTGTGGTACAGGACGTGGCTAGGCTCGCGGAGGGAGCTTAGCTCTGACCAGGAACGAACCGAGGTTCGGGGAGCGTCTCCAGCACGTGATCACTCGGGGGAGTGTGTCTGCGGGGGCTTCATCCATCACCTGTTTAGGGTTTAGGATGTCCCCCAAGCCTAGCTGCGCACTGTGGAGTGTGTAAGGCAGCTTGAAGGCGAGGGGGGCCCGTCGACAGGCGTCGCTGGAGCGGCGCGAACGTGCAAGGAGAGCTTGATGTCGCTGGTCGTAGGAGATGCCAGAGAAGCAGTGATGGAGGAAGGAGGTCGGGTATCCCCGGGCACGGAGGCGGTGGTAGAACCGCGTGCGCATGGCGTGGAATCCATCGGCCGTGCTCTCGCGGAGGAGGTATCTCTGGAGCTCGCTGCGGATGAATGCCACTTTTTGGTGCCGTGGGTGAACCGACGTCCAGGGGAGGTACTGGTAGGCATTGAGCGGCTTCTGGAACGTGGACAAGTCGAGGCAGCCTGTCTCTTCAAAGCGAGGGCCTTTGAAGAAGTGGATATCGAGGATATCCAGCTCTTCAAGCGAGATCACCGAGGTGATCTTGATCGAAGGACACAGCGTGCCGTACCCTCGGAGCCATCGTTCGAGGCCTGCTCGTGTACCTGTCCAGATGCCCACTCCGTCATCTATGTACCTTCGTAGATAGAAGGGCCAGTCGTTGGTGGCGTGCTTGTACTCGGCTTCAAGAGAGCAGAGGAAGAGGCAAGCGTAGACCACCGCGAAGTTGGAGCCCATCGCTGTGCCGCGGATCTGCTGGTAGATGTTACCGTCAAACTCCACGTAGTTGTGCTCCAGGACGAGGGCAGCCGCAGCCATGAGGAATCGCGAGCGTGTGGTGTTGCCGTACTCGGCAAACACAAAGTCGCGGAGGCGTTGGAGACCCTCTCGTGTGGGGATGCTTGGGTAGAGGCTCTCTACGTCGAACGTGAAGAGCCAGCAGTCCCGCGGGAGCTGTAGGTGGAGGAGGTCCTGCAGCAGCGTGAGCGAATCAGTGAGAAACGTTGGCTGCTTCAGCAGGATGTCGTAGATTAGTGAGCTTATCGTGGTTGAGTTGGATCGAGTGGTTATTTAGTTATGCTTGTCCATGAACCTTTATCTCATACCTGAGGTATTACGTTCATGTTAGACAAGTATATGACTTGATAACGTGGGTTAGTGTTGGGTCTTGAGAAGGCAAGTTGAAGAGTGATTGTTGATTGCTTTGCAACTAGTGATTGCTTGTAGATTTTTTCGAAGACTGTGACACTTGCTGCACTTGATGATGATTCAGCAGTGATGGGCTTGCTTTACCGGATCGTGTTACGGAGGATCGTGTCATTAGACTTATATGGTTTTCTATGTTGGTATGTTGACTCTACCTTTGTCGATATCATTTAGTTGCGTTTAGTTCGTAGTGTTGGATTTCATTGAGTCTTGGACGTGGTGATTCTCTCCTTGATAAAGTGTTATCTATGGCTGAGTATTGTTGAAGAATTAGTCTCGGATACTAAGAAAAGTATCTTCGACTTTGGTTAGCTTAGTTGCTAAAGAGTTTTGAGTGGTGGTTCACTCGTGCTTTCTTTTAGCTTTGTTATGGTGTTGATGATATTGAAGTGATGCCTTGTCGTTGACAATATTGATGTTGAGATTCAAGTGAAATGAGATGTCTCTCTATAAGATTGATATTGAGTTAAATTAATATTGATGAAGATAGTGTTGATGATTTGGCTATGGCTTTGTGTTACTGGCATTTGTGCATTTGCTAGTTAGCAACTGTATTGACGTTCAAATGAATTGAGTGGCAAGTTTAAGTTAGTTGTGTTCTAGACAAGATTATTTTAGTAGAGGTTGAGCTTTGCGCTTTTCCTTGAAAAGTGATTTAGTCATGGACTATGCTAACTCTACGAGAGGAAAAGTTAGTGATCGATATTGGAATGTTTGAATCCTTGTTGGATTTGAGTTAGATATATCGATCATTAATGATTCTCCTTGTGCTTGTTATGAAGTGAGTTACGTCTTGCTATAGATGGATTCATGGAGGATCGTCTGGTGATCACTTGTTGAGCATAACTTCGTTATACTTAGCTTTTGGATTGATGCAGACATGCTCTTCATTAGCTTTGGCATTATGAAGTTTAGCTTCAGGATGTGTTGAGGAGGATACTGTGGGTTATACCATGCTTTCTTCTTTAGCATTGAAGTTCATTGATATGAGGCTTGTGATCATTGTTAGGCCAGACTTGGCTATAGACTTCTTCGAGCTTTTGGTTCCTTGAGTTTTTATGCTTATGGTCCATTTGTTAGAAGTTGTTGGGGAAAGCATTTTGGCTTGTTAGCTTCGATGTTGAAGTTAGTATTTGCATGTAGCAATCATTGGTGATGCTTGACTATCATCTAAGATAGTTGATTATCCTTAATAAAGGTTTTGCTTGATTATTGTTGGTATAGACTGAGTTGCTGTTCTTCGGGATGGTGGATTCTTTCTTCAACGATGATTATGCATCACTGCATTGATGGGATGATTCATGATCTTTCATGATAGTTAGTTGTTCTCTTTGATGGCTTTTGGCTGTTCGCTAAACATATATGTACATTACCCCAATCCCAAAGGGATCAAAACAACATTGAGAGCGCACTCTCGAAGAGACTAGTGAAACTATGAGCGCGAACGCCCGGCGCTGCTCTTGGGCCGTCCGCCTCCCAGGTGACTCCACCGCAGAGCTTGAAGCCACCTGCTTCGCCTTGCCACTCCTCCACTCGGTCACAATGATGACAAGCCAGACGAACACCATGTCGATCTAGCTCGACGTCGTCGCAGCCAAAGCGGTCCAACTCGAGCACGATGACCCGGCGTTGCTCATGGGTCACTCGCCTCCAAGGTGACTCCACTGCACAAGCTGAAGCCACCTGTTACGCCCCAAGACGTGATGCTGTGTCTTGGAGCGCCTACCTCCCCAGTGTACTTCCAGCACTAAGTCGGTGCCCATTACGAACAAACTCCAAGGCGTAGAACAAGCGAGGTGTGAGCCTCCTCCAGCTCTAGACTAGAGCGTGCTACCTTGCCTCCCACACTAGACAAGTGCGCTGGCCCCCTTCAATGATATACGAGCCCCCGTTGCCGGCATCGCGACAATCACAAGACTTGCAAGCCTCCACGAACCTCCTCAAAGGACTAGCCCTGAAGCAAGAACCATGTGGGATCCCCTCCGCGAGCAAACCAACTCGGCCATCCGCCACTGGCCCCCTTTGTGACAGCACTTCCCTGTCACTAGATCCAAAAATGCGCCCATAGTGTCTTCCACGTCCATCCACCGCAAACACTTCGCTATGTCGGGATGTCGTCCCGAACTGTCCTCCACCAGTCAACAAAGTTCCCATGACTTGGTCGTGTTTCCACGACTCAAGTCGCCAAGAACCTCCGACACATGCAGCTTCACGCTCTCCGTACCTCAGTCGCCACCTTGCATGGCCCAACCTAAGGCGAGAAATCCCGCTCAAGCTGCGAGACCAGCAACCGTCGCGTTTCCACCATGTTGCTGCCGTGCCAACCACATGCAACGAAGATCCCTGACACTTAGAGTGGCCGGATCGAAGATCCCGCCGCCACCCTAAGTCCTGCCCTAACCGCAGTTAGGGCAAAAGCCAGCAAGAACCCTAACCCTAGCCACGAGTTAGGGCAGGTGAGAACTCTACCGTGGAGAATTTTTGCCTGCGCTTCTGGGAGGGTGAGAGGCTCCCTCCCAGCTATCCCCCTGTGATTTTTTGTGGAAAAATTCCAAGCCGTTCAGGAGTTATGAGCTCCCAAAAAACTTGAAACCATGAGAAGCGAAAAAAGAAGAGGAGGAGAGGAGAGCGTCCAGCTGCTGCAGCCGTGGTGTTCCTAACTGCCCTCTCCACTCCTCCAAATCTCTAAGCCCCGAAAAACCCTAGCCGCCGCCGAAGAACCCTAAAAACAGCAGCGACCTAGGGCCAGCGAGATCTCCAGATCCGTGGCAGATCTCGCCGCGGCCTTCTAGGAGGATGGGAATCTACACTCCTAGAAGCCCCCCGTTGAAGAAATCGAGGTGTCTCCCAGCCGTTTGAGAGATATCGATAAAAACGACAGAGAGCGAGAGAAAAGAGGAGAAAGAGGAGGGAGACGAGCTCCGTGTGTTGCTGCCGCAGTCTGCGATGCTTGTGCCGCCCTGGACGCTCGCTCCCTCCCTCTTTCTCACACACTCTCTCTAGCGCCTTCGAGCTCTCTCCTCAAACAACTTAGGGCAATGGCTTTTGGCTGTTCGCTAAACATATATGTACATTAGCCTAATCCCAAAGGGATCAAAACTACATTGAGAGCGCACTCTCGAAGAAACTAGTGAAACTATGAGCGCGAACGCCCGGCGCTGCTCTTGGGCCGTCTGCCTCCCAGGTGACTCCACCGCGGAGCTTGAAGCCACCTGCTTCGCCTCGCCACTCCTCCACTCGATCACAATGATGCCAAGCCAGACGAACACCATGTCGATCTAGCTCGACGTCGTCGCAGCCAAGCGGTCCAACTCGAGCACGATGACCCAGCGTCGCTCATGGGTCACTCGCCTCCAAGGTGACTCCACTGCACAAGCTGAAGCCACCTGTTACGCCCCAAGACGTGATGCTGTGTCTTGGAGCGCCTACCTCCCCAGTGTACTTCCAGCACTAAGTCGGTGCCCATTACGAACAAACTCCAAGGCGTAGAACAAGCGAGGTGTGAGCCTCCTCCAGCTCTAGACTAGAGCGTGCTACCTTGCCTCCCACACTAGACAAGTGCGCTGGCCCCCTTCAATGATATACGAGCCCCCGTTGCCGGCATCGCGACAATCACAAGACTTGCAAGCCTCTGCAAACCTCCTCAAAGGACTAGCCCTGAAGCAAGAACCATGTGGGATTCCCTCCGCGAGCAAACCAACTCGGCCATCCGCCACTGGCCCCCTTTGTGACAGCACTTCCCTGTCACTAGATCCAAAAATGCGCCCATAGTGTCTTCCACGTCCATCCACCACGGACACTTCGCTATGTCGAGATGTCGTCCCGAACTGTCCTCCACCAGTCAACAAAGATCCCATGACTTGGTCGTGTTTCCACGACTCAAGTCGCCAAGAACTTCCGACACATGCAGCTTCACGCTCTCCGTACCTTAGTCGCCACCTTGCATGGCCCGACCTAAGGCGAGAAATCCCGCTCGAAGCTGCGAGACCAGCAACCGTCGCGTTTCCACCATGTTGCTGCCGTGCCAACCACATGCAACGAAGATCCCTGACACTTAGAGTGGCCGGATCGAAGATCCCGCCGCCACCCTAAGTCCTGCCCTAACCGCAGTTAGCCAAGAACCCTAACCCTAGCCACGAATTAGGACAGGTGAGAACTCTGAGACCGTGAAGAATTTTTGCCTGCGCTTCTGGGAGGGTGTGAGGCTCCCTCCCAGCTATCCCCCTGTGAATTTTTGTGGAAAAATTCCAAGCCGTTCAGGAGTTATGAGCTCCCAAAAAACTTGAAACCATGAGAAGCGAAAAAAGAAGAGGAGGAGAGGAGAGCGTCCAGCTGCTGCAGCCGTGGTGTTCCTGACTGCCCTCTCCACTCCTCCAAATCTCTAAGCCCCGAAAAACCCTAGCCGCCGCCGAAGAACCCTAAAAACAGCAGCGACCTAGGGCCAGCGAGATCTCCAGATCCGTGGCAGATCTCGCCGCGGCCTTCTAGGAGGATGAGAATCTACACTCCTAGAAGCCCCCCGTCGAAGGAATCGAGGTTTCTCCCAGCCGTTTGGGAGATATCGATAAAAACGACAGAGAGCGAGAGAGAAGAGGAGAAAGAGGAGGGAGACGAGCTCCGTGTGTTGCTGCCGCGGTCTG